TACGTTGCTCTAGACTTGAAAATGCGGGTGGTTACCTCTTTCCTATGTTACCGTCATTTGTCACGTAACTACGTGGTTGCGTAACGTAGCTGAAGCAGTCCATTTTAAGTAATTCCCAAGGCTCAGGCATCTGAGCAGAGGTAGACGACAGTTAGTCTTATAGTATCAATTCGCAAAGCGCATACCGAATTAAATTACACAACTGGTTAATTTGTCATGTGCCCTTTGCGCTTCCTCCATGCTCTAGAACATACAAACGATGTCCTCAGTGTACGTTAAATCGCACAACTTATCTCCATCTGTCCATTGAACAGCTACATTATGGAGACCACTTGGTGCGTTCTCCAGTATTTCGTTTACGACGGAATAGGACACCATTGACGAACACCGCTCCTGGTTTTGAACAGTTTGTTTAACTCATTGTAGACCCTTACGCTACCAGATGTACGGAGGTACAATGATCGCAATAGGTTTGCATACTTCTTGGCATCCCTTTGCGACAGAGCAAAAGCCTCAGTGTGGTCGGGTTGAGATCGGTTACTCTTCACTTGCACTTCACAAAATGCGTTTCAGGGAAAGCCTAACCTTTTCATTAGAATCATCATGGTTTGCATTTAAAATAGATTGGGATCAGCAGCTAGCGTGTGAACGTGTTGGCGTTTTCTCAACAGTTCTGGATACGTAGTCATCAGCGTAACGAACAGAGAGCTGCAACCCGTTATATGCAGTCTCTATCGACGCTCTCGTAACCCCGATTCTAGACAAATGACTATCATTGTTCCGATTATTGGATCTGTGCAAAGGTTTTGATTTTCTAAGTTCCGCTGTACCCTACCATTCGTTTCGTGCGCTCCCCTCGTCACTCGTTACTCTATGTAACCTTTGTTTCTCACCTGTCATTGCTTAATGATTAAATTCTTTTTGGCCATTTCGCAGACTTCAAACTAGTGGAGCCCGTCTCCGGTTGGATTCGCAATCCTCTGCCGATGAGCAATCTGTCGAACACACCAACCTTATGTGAGTGTTCATTTACGTCCTCACTCCATTTTATCGTGGTGCCCTTCTGAAAGTGTGTGCTTGTATTTCATTTGTTGTTGCGCAACTAAGATAGATGTGAAGTGGTTAGTTTCTCCAGTGCATTTCCTCATTGCCGAACCTCATCGTACTTATTATTATTATTCTACTTTTCAGATTCAATGAACAACACACAGGACTCGTCGTGGCTGCTCAAAAGCGACGCGTTGTCCTCTCTTCAGATTCGGAGGATTGACGCTCCCGCATCTGCGGTATCCCTTGCATTTATACGTGTCAGATTTGGTGCTATTTTGTTAACTAATACCTTCTAATGAAATATTTTCATTTTTACACCTAGTCATTCTCGTTTGACGAAACGGGTATTGTGGGTGCTACGTGTTTGAATCTGAATTGTTTGGGTGCTTATTGTTGCAGTCGCTAACTTTTGTTTCTTAGGGCACTGGGTCTTCCTAAGGAATTTTCAAGTTGTTTTTCTCTGGGGCCGATACTGATCTTGTCGATTCGGGTGGTCTTTTAATATGTTTAGCGTCGACTGGGAAGAAGGGCATTTTGCGACGGGTCCCTTGACCACACTGTTTCTTGTTGTACTTTTTCTGTTTAAGCGGTTTGCTTGGCACACTCTTTTAGCCTGAAACTGAATGGCCTATCCTGCCTCTCTTTGATAAGTGAGGTTCTTGTTGTGTTCTTTTTGCGCTCTTCTTTTTCGTCTTTTCTAGGAGACCTGTAGTTGTCTTATATATTTGTTCCTATATGTCTCAGTCTGGATCTGCGTTGGTATCTTTTCAGCTCAAGGGTTTATTTAGACCTAATAATTTCAAACAGAACCGGGACGATTAAGTCACTCACCAGCTGAAACAAATCACACTCTAAACGTGGCGGACGCTTCCCCCTTGCATAAAGTTCCTGGGCGATTATTCCTGTCGGATGTTGGCTACAGCAGAAATGGTGAGGATTCGTCTGCACAACCCCCTTTGTATGCCCGAAAACAGTTTGTGCAAGCGCTGAAGCTTCCCTGGCCTACCCCACTTACACCATATCGATGGTCGGATGAGTGAACAGACAACTGTGATTCGATTTTCGGTCCCATAATGAAATCGTCTCTAGTAATCTGTGATTTTATTTTGTTCTCTCAAGGTAATTTGGGAATACCCAAGGATGATATACGTTGACATCTCTGAAAACGAGCTTGTTCACAACTCTGTTGTTTTGGTTGAAGTGTGCTCTGTAGGACTACTTCGACACTCTTAATTTATTAGAACACAATCGCACAGCAGCGAGCAGGACCTTTCCGGTTGATATTTACGGAGCATATACCTAACTGAGGATATTCGTAAACTAGGAATGTAATCCTGTCCACTTATATATATATAAAAAACGACAGCAGTTAGAATAATTGTCTGCACGCAAAGCTATTTTGTGTCAACAGCCGTTGGCGAACAGTCAGTTGAGTTGGCACGCACAGTTCCAACGCCCCCCCCCCCGCCAGGCACGTGGTTTGAAGTGTGATTCGATTGCACGATGGAGTTAGAATCTATTTGTCAGGTCTGTCTTTTCGTCTTTTAAGATCGTGTTAGTTTAATCGGAGATCGATTCTAATCAATCAATGCTGTGAGGTCATGAACAATTTCTTGTGTCTGTACTATATTCATTAGTCGCAGGATCCAAATTTAATTTGGAAGCTAATGAGTTAAGCACATATTCTCCCTTGTTATACAACCACTAATGGATTCATGATATAATGACAGTCGAATCTGGTTCATAACCAAAAGTGGTTGATGGTTCTAGTCGCTCTGAGTGGTAGGCCAGGTTTGTAAGATCCGATGTTTGAACCCTGTAATCTTCATACGACCATTGTGGCGAGTAGTCTAGAGTTCACCCAGTGTGTGTAATCTTCTTGATTTCATGGTGGTTATGTGGCTCGTAAATTCTACCGAACGACCAACAAATGTTAAGTGAAATGATCATCATAAGATCTACTTGGTGAAAATAATGATCAAATGTTTTGCCCTGATCAATGCAGTCTATTTCCTGGACGAGGATACACCTAAGCAATCGACTGCTAGTCACAGCTACCTGGAAATAGGAGAATTTTTATGTGAAGATGAGCTTTACCGCTAAACCACTGATGCAGTGCGACACACGTTCACATCTTATGAAGACTAACCTTCACCGACTGAGATAGATAAGACGGAATCAATATTCCAATGGTGAAATTAGGAAAACAGCATTGAACAAAGCTTCTTTTCGATCTTTTCTTCCTTGGGCTGATACAATTGTTTATACACGTACTGTCTGGTTAGTATTATGGCTTTATGTGATGAATATCTTTGATTAAGTGATTTTGATGTGGGGTTCGAGAATGAAGTATAATAGTCTTGTTTATTTTCACTGTGTTGTTTGAAAATGTCCCCAGTCGATCTATTGAGTGAAGACCTCCGTTCCCAGTCCGGATCACAGCAAAGTTCATCGTCGTTTGGGTCGGCTGTGCTAGATTGAGGTCTGGGTGAACGGAGTTACCGGTCGAATGGTTTTTGAGATCAAATAGATGGATTTAGGAGGCGACTGACCACTGCCTCAGCTGTTTGGAAGCGTCACCGACAGATGGTTTTCAGTGAGTTTGCAGGTACTGTTTAGATCACCTTGAAAGTGCTTTTTTCGGTTGATGGCTCGTGTCCGCAAGGTGTTCCTGCGCTGCACTTGTGTCTGTTCTCAACCAGGTCGGCTTGCTTTCCATGTTTCGTTGCAATGCTTGCCTATTCCTTACTCCTAAATATTTTACCAAAAACTAAATGCTCATGGATGAGGGGATAGGTTCTCACTTGGGGATAGTGCATGTGGCGTTGAAGCAGGAGAGGGACGAGTAATGGTTTTTCTGATGGCGTTTTCAATAGGTCACATTTATGACTTGAAAAGAAGTGCTATTTACTTTTGAATGTTGTCACCAATGGTCTTAGAGGTTCGTACACCTGATCCTAGAGAAATAATCGTTCTGTATATCGGTTACAAGTGTTTGCTTTACATTTTCAAAATCTTGAGTTAGACAGTCATCTGAGCAAGTTGTACTTGCTCATTACGCGAGAGTTTGACCTGCGTTTAAGACTCAGAGGAACGGAACTGGCACAGCAAGAACGTTGCCCGGTGCAAGTTTGTCTGCAGCAAAATGTGTTTTAAAACTCCTCCGTAGCACTTCGTGATTTCTGCATCTGGAAAGCGAAAGGTATCACTCAGTTCCCATTCAAACTCAACACTGATGGCGCTACGAGCACGAATGTATACCATTCGCATTCCCAACCGATTAATTTGTTCTCAAAGGTAGTTCGTTCAGTCACTTTGCTTCCTCTGTCCCCATTCTGATCGAAACAATTGTGACCTTTGGTGTGATCCAGGAGCACAGACTGGAAATGGGGCAACTCACTCAATTGAATGACCAAAAAATTTTGAAACCACACAACACAGTACCAAACGAGACTCCTTATTCATTTTTGAATCACATATCAGTCAACCAATAGTATTCATCACATTGAACTATTTTATATTTATAAATCAAGTTTCTTGCACGCACGTAAAGACCCGGTGCTGCTCGGACCAGGTTGATAGATTGTTATTCGCAGTGGCTTCCAATCTCAACTATTGCATATTCTATCTCGAAAACTAAGAGTTTGCAATAATGCGTTGCTTTTAGATCAGTCGATGCGGGAGAAACTTCATAGAAGGCATTCATGAGGACGAAATCGGAGCAACATTGAGTAATTGTGCTCGTCCTTAAACAGTTTAATCCAAAAATCGTGATCGTGGACCCTTTGATTTCCTTTGCGGGAAACTAACTGATCGTTTTCGACGTAAACTTAACTATATTTATGAAATGATATACAACCAATCAACAGAGCTTGAGGTCATTTTTCAATCCTGTGGAATGGGACAAGTTAAGAATAGAACAGATTAGGAGAGTCCTCATAGGGGACCTTCTGCGGTCACCGTCATCTTTGAAAACGGAAAAATTTAACTGACGATGATGTGGATGATAAAGAAAAGGAATAGTCGATTAGACGAACCAGTCCTAAATTGAAGCACTGATGAGTTGCGTACCGCTCAACTTCAGATACCAGAATTTAGAATATCAAGCGTGGATTAGCCCATTCGATCGTTCAGAGTCATCAGGCACTCTTGATGGTGTTGGATGTGGGTTTCCCTCCTTGGGGGATTGTTAATTACCCCACGAGTTAGTCCATTCAAATGCAATGGAAATGTTTGTGATGACCGACAAAAAGCACTGGACAGTTGTTTCGTCGTGTTTGGAACTCGTCAACATTGCGTACTTTTTGTGTCCTTGTCAGGACTCGAACCGCGAACATTCGAGTGTCTGGTGCCTCTGAAAGATCGAATGGGCTAGTCCCAGCTTGATATACTAAATTGACGGAGCTCTTCGCTTAAGGTGATGACCGTCAATCGTGCAGCTCAGGGCTATGGGCTTGAATTCCCGACCCGAATATCCTGAGAGGGACACAAAACGCACGCACTGCTGACGAGTACCAAACAGGACGAAACAGCTGTCCAGTGCTCTTTATCGATCATCACAAACATTTCCATCGCATTTGAGCACTTTGAATGTTTTATATGTACGATAATTTTGTTAACAGAGAAAATGAAATGAAACTTGAGCTGAAAAGCTAGAACATACTAGACGTCTATTACGGCCTCGGATCCCATCAGCACACTGAGGATCAAAACCGCGACCCCAGAGGTAGAATGTAAGCATAATAATCAGTTGACCAGCAGGCATGTTGTTAGACCGTCTTTCGTTTTGCTTTTACAAGATAGCGCTACCCATTATTGAGAGCTTAATGTGGACCATGCATTTCAGCACTAACCTCCGGTGTGAGAATCGGGTTAGAAGCATTCAGTACCTGAATACATGTTACATGTCATGTGAGAACTTGTCAGGATGTTAAGCCAATGCATGCACTTAGTTAACCCTAACCAAAGGTTTCCACTGTATGAAGCACGTGCTGACAGGATCGTGTGCGTTATACCGCTGGTTCGAATGATGAATCAGTCCTCTATTTGTCATTGTCAATATGCGCGCGTTTGTTTCTTGCCTCGTTCCTACTGGTGTACCTGCAAGAGTTGAAGACGAGGGCGTAGTTCGCATTTTTCTTTGCAAAAACCCACAGATTGATCACGCACTGCACAACCTTCATTTAGTGTAGAACCGAAAATCATGAAACACTATTCAAA